GTCACACCAAAGTTGCCACCAAATGGCTCAAAAACCACTGTGTTCTGGAAATCAACTGTGGCATGTTGCTCTGCTCTGGTGTATCGACGTTTCAATGCAGCCCATGTCCTGACATCTTGCTCTCGGATGTGCTGCACTGAGGCTGCCAACTCTTGCACTCGCCGCTTGCTCAACTGACCACACGGGTCTCCGGTTTTGATGGTTCTGGGCACCAAACAAGGCGCTGCCTTCGAGCTGCTAAAACATGGTTCTTCTGGAGGTAGAGGAAGATCTGCTAAAACTGAAAAACATAACTCTTCGTTGTAATAAACCAACAAATCCTCTTTCTCGGACACAGCTCGTGGCTCATGCAGCTTGGTTGGTTGCTGGGTTTCATCTGCATCAAAAGCAACAAAAATAGCCAGGTGGTTGGTCTTGGTGGTCATCAAAGGCAAACGAATGCCCAAGGTGTGGACCTCAACAACCTGGTCTTTCAACCGGATCACCATGTCCAGTGCGGACATTGAAGCAATGGATAACAGCAAGGGAGTGGTGCCATCGGGAACTTCAGCTGAATAGACCTCCCCATAGAAGCCCTTGAGGTAAATGGGGATCTTCCAAACAACCAGTTTACTGTCCGAGGCACTGCCATTGGCGAAATGGAACATCTTGCGACTCGCAAGTTGAACCCAAATAGTTCTCCGCATGAAACGTTGACGGTCTCCGTCTCTGACGCGTTGACAAGCCAAACGGATAGCTCTTTGTCCACGCAGCACTGGATCTTGTCGGAAAGTGGGGGGATCGTCTGCGCGAGCAACCTCATAGCCCGCCACAATCACAAACACACGAATCAGGAATCAGTGGGTTGAATCTGAATCTGAATCTGCTTGATTTCTGCAAACAAGGTTTTCAAAAAGAATATTAACTTGAACCAGCAGACTCTTTCTCCTGAAACTGAACAAGTTCCAGGGTTTGGCACGGGACTCCTCTCCGGGCAGTGTTGATGGGGCATTCTGGCGATTTGAAGATAGGTTGCCCCACTGTGCGCCTCGGTGTTGGCGTTGGAGTTGGCCCTCCCTCGGTTGTACGAGTTGGTGCAGGCCTGCTCTGACTTGAATTGCTTCCTCAAGAACTGACAGGTCATGTGTCTCGTTGAACTTCTTCACTAAAGCCGTCAAACAGTCGGATCCACTCCCTGCACCCTCCAGGACTGCATCTGACAACCTCGGTACTTGACATTGGGCACACCACCAACAAACATTAAATTACAGCACTCCGCACCAACAAAACTGAGCCACTTCAGCTCTGTGGAGGTCACTGTGCAAACTTGCAAGGTTGGCTGCTCCATGTCGAACTTTGCTGTAGGTCGTTGCTTTGCGCCCGCCTCCGAGCTGCCATCCCAGTAGTCCTAAATTGGTTCACATACACAGCGCCTAAGAAAATGTGCTTAAACCCCTTGCGCAAGATGGTTTGCAGTTTCAATCACAACCAAGTATCGGTGCGTACCAACCCTGATATTTGGGAGCGCCACCTTGCTGCAGCATCTGGGTCGTCGTCTGGTGGATAATATCCCACAAAACGCCAATCTGGTCCGGACTGTGTCTTGAGATATCTGGTTTGCAAATTCCAAACTGCCCTGCTCCACTCGCCATACCTCAATTTGTAAACTCAATGTTGTAATAAAATAGTGGCTTCCCAAAAACACCATCACATTCAAAACCTTAAGCCTATTAAGTCCTTAAGCTTTGACATCGGGTAAACACTTGCGCCAACAGACTTGGAAGGAAGGAGGTCAACCACATAAACGATGGTGTTGCTGTCACATTGGAGCCCTTCCAAGAGGCCCGTCAGGATCTGCGAGGTCGCGACGACCCCGCGTTGCTGCGCCTGAGATTGCCAGGCTCAGGTTGAACCAAGTTTTCTGGCAATAAACATTCAAGCAAATAATATGCAAACTTAGCAAATTCAAAGAACTCTCCCCGGAGGACTGCAAGGCTTGACACCATCCGGATCATCTGTCCATAAATCGGCAACTCTTGCCCTGCTGACAGGGCCAATCGTGCCAAAGGATGCCTTCGACTTGGAAAACCCTGTCTGTTTGTGGATGGCGCTGGTAGCAAGAGTGCCTGCAAGCAGAATGTCACGAATTGGGCAGGACCAATCACTCCCCAACTCTTGACACACATGGTATGGTGCCTAATTGGCATCTCTTTCAGACTCATAGCGCATCCTGGCCATGCTTGTCGAAGTGGACGATAGGTCTTCCACCTCGGGAGCCGGTGGAACATCAGCTACAGGTTCAGTGTTTGCTGGAGCTTCAATTGCTGGCATCTCCTCCTTCTGCGGCGGTGCCTCACTAGGAGAATATGGCATCTCTCCATCCAATGCAAGCGGCTGAGGGTCCTCCTCATCTTGAGGTGGCATTGGATCAGGCTTTGGTGCTCGTCTCAAATCCAAAAATCCTGTACCACCTGCTGCCGGCATAGCATCAATGAGTTCAGTCTCTTTTGCAACAATGAGCCACTGTTGTATCTCATCACCAACTGCCAAACTCAACTGCTCTGGAGATACCGCCAACAAAATGCCTCTGTGCGACACCCAAACTGTGCTTTTGCCCTCATGTCCAACAACCCGACCAACTCCTCTCCAACAATTGGGCCCGGGCTCTCTGTCTTGAGCATCGTAGTAGAAAACATAGGCTCCAATTGGAAATGGACCTCTGGAGGGTCGAACTTGTCTCCACTCTGCACGGCGCAAGGACTCGCTGTTGGCAACCTTGGCAAAGGCTTCACGAGCCGCCATCCTCAGCTGATGTTTCCGGTAAAAACGGGTGCCCGGAGTGTCAGCTGCTGCTAGCGCCCCAATCCTGCAGACCTCACCGTCATCTGTCAAAGAAGCTGGAAGGCGAATCTGTCTGCCCAACACCCATTGGGCCGGAGAGAAACCTGCTTTCCGACTCAGGTCATTCTTGGCCTGTGTGGTGGCCATGTGGCCCAAAGAACTTCATCTCGACCACTGATCTGTTGGCTCCAGGAAAGCTTTCGGAATATCGACTTCCAAATTCCTCCATGCCTCTCGACTTGACCAATCTGCCAGGGACTTGGTCTAGCTGAGGTGCGAAACTCACAACCATGATTGTCAAAATCTTCTGCCAAATCTGCTAAGAAATATTTTGCACGATCTGTTACAACACCATGCTCTGGATACCCACACCAACCAATCCAATGTGAATGCAATGCTTCCAAAACATCTGTGCTTGTTGGATTGCGGTGAACATCCGGCAACAATGCTACCACTTGGAATGTTGTGGCCTGATCAAGTATATTCAACCATGACCATGTCTGTCCTGCACTGTCCTTCTCCTGAAAAACATCCAACCCAATCATCACATTGAATTCATCAACAAATGGCAGGACGGTCTCGGGATTCGAGGCTCCTGCAACCTTGGACATTCAGCACATCGAAATAGGCGGCAGGCCTTGATCGCAACTTCTGAAGCCCTTGAAACTCGAAGAGCTCTCAACATGGACCTGGTGTCGGCGTGGCCCAAGTTGACATGAATTTTGCGAATGGCCATCTTCAGATCTCGAGGAAGTGCTTGCCACTGTCTGTCACGCTCTTGCTCCTTTCTCGCAAGCCGTTCATCCAGCTCTAAAGGAACCGCTCCTCCAAGTTCACTTCCATAAAGAACCAAATACAATGCTCTGTCTTTTGCCACCAAAGGTCGAATCTGTGCTGCTGCTGCCATGCGGTGCCATTCCTCCCATTGAGTGGACAATGCTTGTCCCGATCCCAAGAGAAGGTAGGATCGGCGAAGGGGAACTTCTTGTGGACCTGCATGTGGCTGTGGCTTCTTCATTCTCCGAGCCGTTCTTGAAGCTAAGATCAGGGTGACCTCAGCATGGGCGGATTCATGTGCTGCCCATTCACGACCCAGCTCATCCTCCACATGGATCCTCAACCATTCGCCAACACCTTGCTCGATCATCATGTCCAGCGTCCTCTGCAAAAGATCCTCAAAATCCCTCGACAGATTGCTCGACGCAACTCCTTGGGATAGCTCGCGGCCAACTTTGAGCGAAGACCGAATCTGTTGTGTCCAATGAGCTGTTGATGACTGCCCCACTTGCACTGACAACGTTTTCCAAGAAAATACCAACCTGTAGGCTTTTGAATCGGACAACGATTCTCCCGATCCTTCAAGCCATAGCGACATTGGTCTCCAGCACAAAACTTGGTAATACTCATGAGCCTCTTGAGAATGCCTTGCCAAACCCATGCCATGGAACCAAGAGGATTCTCCAAGTATCGACCCTGAAAGTGTTGAAAGAAACAAATGCGTGCAATCAGCATCAATGTCCGACGATCCAAGGTGCTCCTCAATTGCTCCCAATTGCGGCTGGGCGACAAATTTGTGAGTAGACTCCAAATGCGACAGTCGAAGGCTATCAAAACAAGATATGGTTTGCGCTCATGCAAAACTGTCCACAACAAACCCTCACCACGTGAACTCAACAGGTCATACCCATCTAACAAATCCAGTGGTTGAGAGTTCGTCCATCCGAACTCGGCTGCTGCTAAACGTGTCACACCAAAGTTGCCACCAAATGGCTCAAAAACCACTGTGTTCTGGAAATCAACTGTGGCATGTTGCTCTGCTCTGGTGTATCGACGTTTCAATGCAGCCCATGTCCTGACATCTTGCTCTCGGATGTGCTGCACTGAGGCTGCCAACTCTTGCACTCGCCGCTTGCTCAACTGACCACACGGGTCTCCGGTTTTGATGGTTCTGGGCACCAAACAAGGCGCTGCCTTCGAGCTGCTAAAACATGGTTCTTCTGGAGGTAGAGGAAGATCTGCTAAAACTGAAAAACATAACTCTTCGTTGTAATAAACCAACAAATCCTCTTTCTCGGACACAGCTCGTGGCTCATGCAGCTTGGTTGGTTGCTGGGTTTCATCTGCATCAAAAGCAACAAAAATAGCCAGGTGGTTGGTCTTGGTGGTCATCAAAGGCAAACGAATGCCCAAGGTGTGGACCTCAACAACCTGGTCTTTCAACCGGATCACCATGTCCAGTGCGGACATTGAAGCAATGGATAACAGCAAGGGAGTGGTGCCATCGGGAACTTCAGCTGAATAGACCTCCCCATAGAAGCCCTTGAGGTAAATGGGGATCTTCCAAACAACCAGTTTACTGTCCGAGGCACTGCCATTGGCGAAATGGAACATCTTGCGACTCGCAAGTTGAACCCAAATAGTTCTCCGCATGAAACGTTGACGGTCTCCGTCTCTGACGCGTTGACAAGCCAAACGGATAGCTCTTTGTCCACGCAGCACTGGATCTTGTCGGAAAGTGGGGGG